CTGCAGCCCGAGCAGGTCAACAGCAGGAGGCCAAACACGGCGCACAGACAGATGAGCAGTGTGGCAAGGGAGCCGTACAGATACCCTGGAGGCGAGGCCGCACTCAACTCCAGCTTCCCGGGACGTGCCCAAGCCAGGTGCAGGAGCTAGAGCCCGCCTGGCTTGAACCAGCCCTCGGCCTTCAAGCCCCACTGCTCTCCCCCACCCGCCCCTCCCTCCTACCCCAGTGGGCCTCGGTTTCCACAAGGCCAGAATTCTGGGGGCACAGCTGCAGAGTGGGAACTCACTCTCGGCCTGGCTGAGCTGGTCCTTGGCGGGGGACCGGGGCTGGGGGTCGCAGGCCCCGCTCAGCTGCTGCTGAAGCAGGGCAGGGCTCATCTGAGCCCAGGCCTGAGGGGTCACCCCGGCCTGCTCAGCCCACCCATACACGGCCATCAGGTCCCTGGCTTTCAGGCACACCTGGGAGGTCAGGACAGGGGTCAGGGTCCACCATGCAGATCCACGGGACCCGACCCCATCTCCTCTCCCCAGGACCCCACAGCAGCTCACCTTATCCCACTCACTGGAGCTGCTGTCAGGGGTCTCAAGAGACACCTCATTGGTACCCCTGCCCAGATCATGGTGGTCACTGTGGTCGTGGTCATCGTGGTCGCCAAGATCCTCTCTGCCCACCCCTAGGCGCTGCATCAGAACCTGGAGCTCTGCGGGAAGGGGAGGGGGCTGTTGCAGGCTCCAGACCCTCCTGCGGGGTGAAGGGGGTGGAGGGAGCTCTCTCCCCGGCAGGTCTCACCGGCTAGGGAGATGTTGGGAGTCTGGCCCCCATGCTGCCGGAACACGAAGTCCACAAAGTACTGAGGGCTCGGGAGGCTGCGAGGGCTGGGCAGGGGCTGGAAACAAGACCCGCTCCTGATGTGGTCTAGCAGGGCGGCCAGGGCCGGGCCAGGGCTGCCAGGGGCTCCGGCTTCTTCCACCTCCTCCAGCAGCTGAGGGACACCTACACAGGTCTGGAGAGGGGACGGCCTCTCAGCCCCACCTCAGCTCCAAGGTCACCATCCAGATTCACGCAGCCTGGCAAGCCTTGTTCTCTGGGTCTGGGCCTACCACTATCATGAGAACACTTGCTGGGTTTCACAGAACCCCAGCTCGTCTACAGCGTGGGCTGGCCTCATATCAAGGCCTGCCCCAGACACCCCGACTCTTCCCTCCTTTGGGCCCAAGAACCCTCCTGACCCCCTCTCCCAGCAATCCCCCTTCCCCACTCAGAAGTGAATATCCAGCTGTGGTTCCAGCCTCCCAGCAGTGTCTGCAGATGTGCTGGGCGCGTCACCCCTGCAGTCCCCGGGTGAGATCCCCCAGGCTCCCGTTGCCCTCACCTCCTCCCCAGGGGACTGGATGGAAGTCTGGGTCTCCAACTTCTGCAGCAGCTGGTTCAGGCCTAGGGTCATGGCGTCAGGACTCCCGAGCTGTCTCAGGAAATGGTCAACCTGGGAGGCCAGGCGGCCAGCCCGGATGTCCACACATGTGCCCTCAGGGTTGCTAAGGTAGAGGGCCGCAGCAGCACTGAGGTGGCCAATGTATTTGGACTCCAGAACTAGCTCTGGCTTGTCAGGCCTGCCCAGGGCCAAGGCGTCCTCCACGGACAGGCACTGTGGGCAGACAGGGGAGAAGGGCTAGGGTGGGCACTCCACAGAAGGAACAGACTTGGCGAGGACGAACCCCATCATCGCATCATGCCCAACCCTCCCCGTCCTTAGATCCACTAGTCCAACTAGGAGCCCACACACAGGGGGCCCATCCTGGGCGGCTTCCAACAGTCAGGAGCAGTGGGGCTATCTGTGGCAGGCAGGGTAGCTGCGTCCATCCCAGCGCTGGGTAGGGAAGGCAGGCTCTGGTCTCCCAGCAGCTCATCCACCAGCCTCAGCCCGCCTCCTGGAGTTTGCCCAGGTGCCTTTCCGGCCGGCTGCAGGGTGGAGCGGGCAGGAAGGGCTGGGGGACTCCTCGGGTGGGGCTGTTACCTTTCCACACGGCACGTCGGTGCAGTGCACACGGTCCGCCAGCATATTTAACAGACTGCCCAGTGCCTCTCGATCCAGAGCACCCTGGCCTGAGGTGAGCAGGTGAAGCAGGCTGGTAGGCTGAGCCACAGCGGCGGTTACCAGCAGCACTGACAGGAGCCCTGGGCTGAGCCCACCTGGGAACACGGCCATGCCTCCAGCCTAGGTGGAGACTCGGTGAGTCTGCAGCCTAGGTCCAGACTGGGGCTGGGTTTGACCTGCCAGGCCCCAGCACAGGGACCTCTCCCAGGTATTTCCTGAAGGGCCCTGTGATTGGCTGCTGGCTGTGCCGGGTTAACCATTCCAGTGGCAGATCCTCCCTAGCAGCTGGGGGCCAGGAGCTGCAGCCTGGAGGCAGGGCTGGGCCCCTCACCCTGGCTGGGTGGGTGGGTGGCCTGTTGGGCCTGGATCTCTGGAGGCTGGCCCTCAGCTGGGGGGGGGGGCAGGGCAGAGGTGCATGGATGGCACCACCTCGAAGCTGGGCCCCAGTCCTTTCTTCTCCCTCTTCTTTTTTGGTGCTGATCTTGGGACTTGAACTCAGGGCCTGGGCACTGTCCCTGAGCTCTTTTTGTCCAAGGCTAGCTCTCTACCACTTGTGCCACCGCTCCACTTGTGGCTTTTGAAGACTTTCCCACCCATCGGGGCTTTGAACCCAATTCTCAGAGCCCAGCTTCCTAAGTAGTTAGAGTTACAGCCATGAGCCACCCATGTTCCTACTAGGAAAGTGGTTTTTTGACACTCAACTATGGCAGGATTTGGGAGGTGTAGCCCTGCAGGACCTGCGCCCACCCTTCTTATTCAAGGACCCTAACACCTCAGCCCTGTGGCTAGCCTTGGGGAGGGGAAGGGGTTCTTCCAGAGCCCTGGGCTGTGGCTCAGGTAGCCACAGGGTGGAGGGGGTGTGTGTGTGTGGAAAACAACTTGCGGGAGTCAAGCTCCCCACCCCCAGCTCTCCAGGGAAAATCCCCAGGAAATCGCTAAAGTCAAAACCCAGAAAAACAGGAAGGGAAGAGGCCTGGGCCCTGCCGCCACCTGGCTACTCGGCCGGGAAGGGGTTGGGGGAGGACCCCAGTGCTGTCCCTCCCTGCTGGTTTCATCCAGCCTTTGACCCCTGGACCTTATCTCAACTTCTGGGGACAGGAACAGGCTGGGGTAAAGGTCAGAGTACTGAGAAGCAGCACCCCAGCTGGCAGCTGCGCTTTCTGGAGGGCTGGGCTGCAGGAGGCACTGTCCCCAGCCACCAGAGAAGGCTGCCAGGCCCCTCAGGGCAGGGAGCCTGAGGATTCTGCCCCGTAGCCTTGGGCGTCGGCTCAACGGGAGAGGCTGTCCTGGGACCTGGGGTCAGGTGCCTCTCCCACTTCATACCACACACTTGGAGCCTTCAGGCTGGGACACCTGCGGTGCACATCCTGCCCTGGCCCAGAGGAGTGTGAGGGGACAAAAAGTAGGCTGGCTGTGGGCTGGGAAGTCTGCATAGCTTCATTACTCACTGCTCCAAAGCAGGGAGCCTGACTGAGGCTAGGCCTCCACCCAATCATCAGGCCTGACACATGCTACAGTATGGATGAGCTGAGAAGACATTATGCTGAATGAGAAGAAGTCAGTTACAGAATGGCAAATAGCATGATTGCACTTACAGGACCGCTGGGCACACCTAAAGCCATAAGCCCAGAGATGGAAAACAGAATGGTGGGTACCAAGGGCTGGAGCATTAAATGTATTAGTGGCACAGGGGTGCAGCTTGGGAAGATAGACTTGTAGAGGTTAAGTGGAAGGCATGGCCCCAAGAATCCATGCTTAGTGCCACTCAATGGTGTTAACAATGATTATGGTGTTAAGTCTCACATTTTTTCACAATAAAAGATGTATTAAAACAATACTCTCTGACCATCAACTACTGCACACAAGTGGCTCTAGATGCTACCCACTCAAGCAATGCAGGCAGGAGGAGCATGAGTTCAAAACTAGCCAGGTGCCTATACTTCTACCTACTCCGGAGGCTGAGATACGAGGATCGTGGTTCAAAGCCAGCCCAGGCAGAAAAGTCTGTGAGACTCTTATTTCCAATAAACCACCAGAAAGCTGATATTGGCGTTGTGGCTTAAGTGGTAGAGCGCTAGCCTTGAGCTGAAGAGCTGGGGGACAGCGCCCAGGCCCAGAGTTCAAGCCCTACGACTGACCAAAACAAAAAACAATAACAACAAAACTAGCCTGGCTACATTTTATGACCCTCTCTCAAATAACCAAAGGTTGGGAAGAGAGCTTAGTGGTCAAGTGGTTTGACAACATGCACAAGACCGTAGGACTATCAAAACAAAAAAGGTTAGGTGCTGGTAGCTCACACCTGTAATCCTACTACTCAGGAGGCTGAGATCTGAGGATTAAGGTTTGAAGCCAGCCCAGGCAGGGAAGTCCATGAAACTCTTATTGCCAATAAGCCACTCAGAAAAAGCCAGAAGTGAAGCTGTGGCTTAAATGGTAGATTGAAAAAAAGAAGCTCAGAGACAAGAGTCCAGGCTCTGAGCTCAAGCCCCAGGACTGACTAGCATTAAAAAAAAAAAAAGTGTTTCCAGGCAGGAGAGCTGGTGCAGCAATTAAACCCTGCTGCACCCTGCTCTGCTCTGAGGCCAGCAGGGCCAGGGCTATCAGATGTGGACTGCGGTCCCTGGCCCTAGCGAAGGGTCAGAGTCTGACACATAAAGGTGCACAGGAGCCACGTAGGGCTGCTAGCCCGTCTGTGACCTGTGTTTATCAAGCTCTAGCTGGGAGGTTGCCAGATTCACTACACCTGGCCCAACTGGATAGCAGATACGGCCCCAGCCTCCCCAAGCTCAGCCAGCTGGAGCCTGTGGAGAGGCAGAGGGTGTATGGACGGGCCACAGGGCCGGGGGAAGGAGGAGGTCAGGACTGAGTACTCAGAGCCAGGAGGGCGGACAGGAGACTGCCATGGCAGGAGGGTCACACAGCTTCATGGGGGTGAGGTCCTAACGACACAGACACAGATCCAGGGCAAGTAAGAGCGCAGAAGAACCCAGGACCATCTCCTAAATCTGTCTTCTGAATGTCCTCGCGCGCACACAAAGCACTGGAGGTCAGGCGTGCAGGAAGCGGTTGAAGGCGTTGTAGGCGGACTCCAGGTCAAAGAGCATCTGGCGCACCTGAGAGTCTCCCAGTTCATCAGACGCAGACATGCCGCTCAGGGTCTGCAACCTGGGGGCACAGTTATGTGTGGGTGTGGGGCCGCAGGGCACCGATGCCAGCAGTGACTCTGCATGCCCAAGAAGGTCACTCACCACTGGCTGACGGTCTGGCGGCCCTCAAAATCTGGGGGCAAGTGGCTCATCCTGTGCATGGTCTCCATTAGCTCTCGCAGGTCCGGCTGAATCTGCAGCCATAGGCACAGGCTGACAAGGCTCTGCCCTCTGCCTCCTGCCCGGCCCCTCCCCCTCCCAGTCCTGCACCTCGCCC